TATATATTACTGTGTGTATATATATATTACTGTCGCTTACTCGACTAATATACCGTATATATATATTACTGTCGCTTACTCGACTAATATACCGTATATATATATTACTGTCGCTTACTCGACTAATATACCAACATTCTCAATGCATATTGTGTGTTGTGTGTTAAATCTCGAAGATTAGGGCAGAATCACGTATCGCGCACTTCAAAATTAGCAGATCACGAATCACGGGGGGATTGAATTCTCGAATACCGGACTTATTGTGTTTTTGTTTGTTTGTTTTTTTTTGGTTGTTGTTGTTTTTTGTTGTTGTTGTTGTTGTTGTTTCTTTTTTTGTTGTTTTTTTAAATATATTCTTTATTTTAGGAATCACGGTCCAAAAAACGACCAGAATCACGCGTCACGCGTAACCCCAGCGCCACCCTGCAGTTTTTGCTTTCCTATATCTTCTTTTGTTTTTCTCGGAATTAAATAATGCAATATATCTTAAAGACAAAATGTATTTAACAATTATTTGCCGAAGGCGAAGTGAATATCGGGGAATATTTATCGAGACGCGAGTCTTCAAGCAGCGAGGTAAATATTCTTCGATAGAGTCAATTCAAAAAAACGTTGTCGTCGATCGGCTCAAGCCTACGCGACTGGACCGAAAGGAATATGGGTAAAAATCACTGAAGCGGTTAAATATTCGATCTGAATTAATCGTTCCCGCTAGTAATAAGATAATAATGGCGAGAAAAAAATCCATCAAATGCATGTCTTCGGGTTTAGGGAAAGAAAAACAAAGTAGTTATGATTCAGTTCACAATTCCGAAAATATGAAGGCATTAAAAAACGCCCCTTCAACACTTCCGGCTCGCCTACGAAGGTTCGTGCTTTAAACCAGGCATAACTAGTCGGATAAAATTATGGAGTCAACTCGGCTTCAATGATTACTACCCAGAGTTCCTTTCGGTCCAGTCGCTAGGCTTGAGTTGGTCGACGACAACATTTTTTGAATTGACTGTATTCACTGAGGCTGATCCGTGCCAAGCAGCGCCTTCGTCGCTTCGTTAGCGATTACTCTCCTTTAACAAGTTAACTTATTAAAGGAGAGTAATCGCTAACGAAGCGACGCCGGCGCTGCTTGGCACGAATAGTTCAGCGGTAAAATACTCAGAGCGTACGTACAGCTGATTCAAACCATCATAAAGACCGTTGGTGGACGTGGTAAATATATCGTACGGCTAATTCAAACCAGAAAGACCGTTGGTTGGAAAGGACGTTTATTTTTAAAGATAAGTTTGAACACTATTTAGTGTCCATTTAGAAACAAACATAGAATAACTGAAACAATCACACATCTAAAACCCAATCCGTCAGTCCTGGCGCCCTTGGTCCGCCATTTTGGATTATCGCTGGAGGTGATTATCGTGTGATAGTTTGAGTTTCTCGACAAATCAGCGCGCGAGATTTTCAATTATCACCATGTATTTTTACTAACATGACTTAATATACTTAAAGCTCTACAACTAACGCTAAGACCACAGCTAGCGAGCTTGAATCACTGGCGAGTTTAGTTTTTTTCAGTTGTTTTTTCTTTCATGTATGCAGGTTGGGTGAGAGCTAGATGTGCTGTAGCTAGTAGTAGAACTAATTCGGTCAGTTTCAGATCACCTACTTTTCAAAAAGTAGGGATTTGTAGATAAATTGTATCACCGTAACAAGCTTTGTGAAACTGACGTTTTGGACGTTAGTCCTTCGTCGGAGTAAGTAGGAGTAAGTGGAGAGTTTAAGATTCTCGTTTACGGCAAACGTGATGAAACGGCTGTTGACCATTAAAAATTATTTAAAATTAGTGAAAAGGAATCGCAAAAATCTCCAAATAGTAGATATACAAAAGAATAATTGTTTTTGGTGAGAAGGTTTGCAAAAGGTAAAGTGAGATGTAGGGAAACGATGAAAACGTGGTCTAGTTTGCCGTTACCGGGAAGGAAAAACGGGAATCTTAATCTGCCTAGTGCCACTTACTCCGACGAAGGACTAACGTCCGAAACGTCAGTTTCACAAAGCTTTTTACACCGACGCAGTCCACGCTAGTTCTACTAGTTATCTCCACTTACTTTTCAAAAAGGTGATTATTATACATTTTATGTGATGCATGAATTTAAAGCCGGAAAATCTCAAAATAATCACATCGTTATCATTAGCCGTATATTAGACAGATATAGTTCTCTTTGAAAAGATTTGACTAGCTAAAAACTAGTGTGAGCTGCGTCGGTGTTTCTAATGAAACAGTAATGATGAAAAGGTAAATTATACGCCGTGAAAAGATGAAAAAACTTACTGACGTTTCGGACGCTAGTCCTTCGTCGGAGTGAAAGAGAAAGAAGTGGTCAAGTAAGTGGTTTTTTCATCTTTTCACGGTGTATAATTTACCTTTTCATCATTATAGTTCTCTTTGTCAAGTCTGCCAAAAAAAAACACACTGAAGCGGAAGGCCGCCACTGCAATGTTTTAAAATAGCGATGTCTTCAAGTATTTAAGTTCTAAATTGAGGTTGTAGTTGTATTACCTGTAATAGGTTGACTTCCTGAAACTTTTTGGAGAGAAATCCCACAAAACAATGCAAGTAATAACATACTGACGAATCCTTTAGAGCCAGGTACCTTCGCGTATCTTAGACTTTATGACTCTTTAGCTGAAAACCAGTGAAATATTTTTCTGAACTGGGATTCGAAACAGCTCTGCAAACTAGAGGTTATACCTAAAA